TTTTTTTGAGTGATAACTCGAAAGAGCAAGAGCGAATTTTGAGCGCTCTACGAACTCTGGTGTGAGGTGATGTTGGTGGTGGCCTTAAAGTAATAGTGGCGATGTTGAAGGTGATTTTGCTGGTAGAGTCGTGGAATGTTGATGGTGCGATTTTGCTGGTGCCGGTGTTGAATGATGATGGTGGCGATACTTCTGGTACCGGTGTTGAAGGTGATGGTACGATGTTGGTGGTGGCATTAAAGGTGATGGAGGAGGTGCGTGCGATATCAGCTGGTGACGGCATTAAAGATGATGGTGGGTTTTAATTTTAATTGTTGCAAATCTGTAATAACGAGAAAATCAATTAAAATGCACAAGTTAAGTAATTTACATATGTATGTACATACCTTAAAAATAATGATGCAAAGTCGACGGCAACGGCAACGGGAACATAAAATGAAATTTGAAATATCTATAAAATTATAAAATTTTTTTTATCAAATGTGACATTTTTCGACAAAGCCTACTGTCATAAAAACTGCCATATTTCTTACTCGCTTTAACGCACAGAATTCCTATAAAAGTAGGAATTCCGCTCTAACAAATGAAAAATCCCACCAAACAACTTGTGTTGCCGGCAATAAGAAAACGTGTCGCCCTCGGAAACAAATTTATTGCCGGTAATATTGCCATCGAATCGATTTCCTATTACCGGTCGCTCTAAAACGTCCGCCGAAGGCAACTCGCCTGAGCCGTTTTCTTATTACCTGAATGAGTCCTTTTCTTATCGCTTCAGGCGATAATTGGAATAATTTTATTCTTTTTAATACTTCACTTATTTTTTTGTATACCGAATTGCAACTTACAATCGGAATTAATTCATTTTCTCGCTGTGAGGCTTCCTATTTTTTCAATCTTGTCCTTGGGCATAATTTAGATGCTTTTGGCCAATACTATTGACGCCGTATTCATTAGTTTCGGAATTTTTGAGAACTTGAAGTGATGTTGCCGATTTGTCACCACAGCGATAAATCGGTGAGTCGCCAATTTGTTACCATTGACGATTGTTGCCTATTTCTCATGTTTTGCATGGTGGGATGTTTCACATTTCGAATACCAAATTTGTAAATGTGTGCGTGATAGCTAAAAAGTTGCGAAAGTGTGTGTAACGCTGTCGAATTTGAGGGGAAACTGCTCAGCCAGGGCTTGCAGGGTTACTGCCAAAATACTACGCACATACACACAAATGTACATACCCTGTGGGGAAAATCTCTAGTTCTGAAGTGGTGCGCTTCTAGTACATTTAGACCCAGTACTGGTTCGCGATAAATCTCTTTTGCATGCAAGCAACTGGCGAATTTAACATGGCGATGTCCTAGGAAGTGTCAATTGCCCCCCGCTGCATCCCTTTTTCGATAGTTCCGAACTAGTCCTAAATTTTATAGTTCCGAACCAGTTCTAACCTCGACATACGAAAGAATAAAGTATCATGATTTTTCAATCATTTTGGTTCTTCCGTGTGTGCGATTTTAAGTTATTTTGGAAGAAATGTGTTTCAATTTGAAATTAAATTTGTTTGAATGATTGTAAGAAATGTACGTTTACATACCTTTAGCTGTAGTTGAGTTTGCAGAGGCGCTCGCTGTTATTTCTTAGATTCCAGACTGTCCAAAGATGTTGAAATGTTAACACAAATTTTAGTTTTGTATTACCAAGCTATGAAAAAGCATCTGCGAAGCACAGAATAGAAGCGTGTTCGAACGAAAAAGCCGCCGAACACATATCTATGTAAAGTAAACAAGCCCCCGCTGCATCCCTTTTTCGATAGTTCCGAACTATTTCTAAATTCGTCAAATAAGATCTAGTTCGTTCTGCATCCCTTTTTCTATAGTTACGAACTATTTCTAAATTCCTCACTTTAAATATAGATTTCTAGTGAAAAAAACTAGTACTACTTTTCGCTGATTTTGGACTGGTGGGTATCTAGTTCCTATCGGACCAGTTCGTTTTTGGCGATGAAGACCTAGTACGGAACTAGAAATTTGATTCACTAGTCCGCGGTTTCCCTACAGGGTATTTACAACTTACGGCAGCATACATACATATGCACATAATTACACGCATACTCAAATCCAAAAATAACTATTTCTTTCATAACCGCATGCGCGTATTTCTCAAGGCCAAGTAAATTCATTCATAAAAATAACCGCAGCACATCTCCCCGCAAATTCATCACCATCAAGCTCAACTTTTTCAATCCGACACAAAAATTCAAAAATCTTAAAATGAAGAACTCTCGGCCAGCCAAGTGAAAAGTGGCAACTATTTCTCTATATCCAGTAAAATAAGTTATCTCGAATTTTGGAAATTTTTGGCAAAACACTCTATTTCTATGTTCCATATCAATATTTCAATCATTAACTAGTTTTTGAGATGTAATTTTAATAAACATTAAATAAAAGTGTACGTTTTCTGCAGGAAAATACATTGATTTTTTTTAATAAAATCAAAACTTCTAAAATCACAAAAATATATGGTTTTATCGGAAGTTCACAGATGTAACGTGGCAACTTAGCTCGTTTTCATATTTTTCGGTCCGAAATTGTAAAATTTTTATGCATGACGCGCCACAATTTTTGTACAGGTGGGTCAATGTGCCTTGAACAAATTTTATATATATACAAAAAAATTATTTTATTTATTTTTTAATATTAAAATTTTCTATACTTCGAAGCGTTTATAAAAATATATTTACATATATGCACGGACGATTTTTAATATTTTTCAACCGTAAGCAAATCTTCAATACCATGAAAGATTCAAACACATCAAAGTACAATCAATGCAATGTCCAAGCTAGTGGTACTCCACTGTACATGTGTATATGAATGTATGCATGTATGCGTGTAAAAAATGTCAATTCCAGTTGGTGTTTAACCCATTTTAGCCGACATCGTTTTTTTGGTTTCAGCTGGTTCCAACTGTTAATGAAGCACAATTTTTATGATTAATCTTGATGAAAGTTACATGTATCCTCGAGAACATGGTTACATGCAAAATTTTAAATAAATTAATATTATTCTCCATACAAAATGTACGAGTATTGCTTTATTAAATGCAAACTTATGCGAAAATCTAAATATTTCGTAAACGTAGGGTTAATATTTTCGCGCACGTGCCAATCTGGAGGCGATTCGCAGAAATTGAATAATTTGTGTTGATGGAAGCGGCGAGGGGAAGACGAAAGCAGAACAATCGTATATATGTACGCACATATGTACATTTATAAATGAATACATACTTACATTTTTACGCGTTTGTCTTTTTGGATGCATGAAAAATTTGGTAGCAGAAATAGGTAATGAAATGAAGTTTACAAATATGTGCTTTATAAATTTAGGTTTAGTTATTAATAAATTAGATATGTAAATGACAATGTGGGGGACAAATATGCACATGAGTAGCGAAGGTGCCACTCATCGAATGGCAACTTCTTACACGACTTTATTAGAAAAGATTTGAAAACTGCATTATTTCCATAAATATAGAAAATATTGAAAAATTTCTCAAATAGTTTCGTCTTAGATTAGCGAGATTTTTACAAATTGCTGGAAAAATCCGACGTTTACAGATTTTTAGTATTTAAAAAAAAAAGTTCCCGGGTCGAAAATAATTAAAAACTTAATTATTTCCATAAATATCGGGAATACAAAAAAAATCATACAGACTTTCGACTTAGCTTAGGGAGATCTCTACAAAAAAATGGAAATAATTCTTTTCACAGTTTTCCAGTCCAAAACGCAAACACTTATGAGAGTTTTCTATTTGCAATCATTAAAAAAATATCAAAAAAATCGGAAAATGTTATATAATATTTTCGATTTAATAACATAAGATAAAACAATTATTTTCACAGAAAATCTAACACTTTCCAAAATATCACAAAATCATCAATATTCATATTTAATTAACAGTCCAAACGCTCTCGTTAGATGTAGCTCTGTTAATATTCTTCTTTTCTGCTTTGTATGTTGCTTTCGCTGTTAAGTATTCCAAATATTTGTCGCTCTTAAAATGCGCTTCGCCAGTTTTGTTGGCTCGAAAAATGTGGCATTCACAGTTCTTGGACCTTCTCTATAAATATACGTTCTCTGGTTAAGTGTTGCGCCAGTGCTGTTGTCATCTTTTTGTTTCTCGCGTCCGCTCTGTGTTCATTGATTCTTATACCCAACGCTCTTTTTGTTGTGCCTACGTAGCATTTATTGCAGCTTTCGTTATCATTGCCCTTGCACTTTATTTGGTACACTACATTGTGTTGTTGCTCCTTTTCAATCTTGTCTTTGGTTTTCGTCAACAATTTGTTGAGTGTGTTATGGGGCTTGTGTGCATATATCACATTCTCATTTTTTTATTGTTTTTCGGAGTACTTGGTTATTTGTAAGTCCTGGTATGTATGTCACCCCAATGTATTTTTTGTTAGTGTTGTTTGGCTGTACTTCGGTGTTTTGGCTCGGTTGGCGAATTTGGTTTATTGTTGTTTGTAATAATCTTTCTATTGACGCGTGCGGGTAGCTGTTTTTGTACAAAATGTTTTTTATTTTCTTGTTGTTTTGCTCTGTAAATTCTTCGTCGCTGAGCAGATGGACTTTTCTAATAAGACTGGCAGCGGTGTTTATTTTTTGTTTCCATGGATGATTGGAATGAAAATTTATCAATCTCCCCGATGCAATGGATTTTGCATACCAGTTCAGCAGAATTCGGTTTCCCTTTTTATGCACTTCTACATCTAGAAAGGCAATTTTCTTGTTTTTCCCCTTTCGACTGTAAATTGTATTTTTGTATGTTGTGCATTTAATATTTTTAGTATGTGTTCCGCGTCTTTTGCTTTAATTATTGCAAACATATCGTCTACATATTTATTTATGTATGTCGTGTTGTTTAAGTTCAGCTATGCTGTCGTCCAATATTTTGTCAAGTACGATGTCCGCTATGGTAGGGGATAACCGGTTACCCATTGGCATGCCATAAATTTGTTGATAAAGGGTGGTATTATATTTGAAGTAATTGTTATCCCGTAAGCAAAACTCGAGTATGGTATGAAATTCTTTTCGTTTAATGTTTGTAAAATTCTCTAATTTTTTCCAATTCTTCATAACTGTCTGTATGGCTAAATGTATAGGGATATTCGTGAATAGTGATATGACATTTTTCTTAGACAATGATAAGCTTCAGTATGGAAAAAAAGTGCAGTTCTCAAAAATCTACGCGAATTGAATGTACTATCTCGATCATTTAAACATCTCGGACACGCCCACCAATAAAAATGATTACTTAACTCTAAAGTATATATTAATTGATATTTAATATTTGCTTTAGAGATGAAATTTTGACAAATTTGTTTAAACAAAAATGTTAAGCGCATATGCAGAATGTGGAAGCGAGATTCTTCTGCTTGCGTTTCTATGTTTATATCATTTATCAGTTTAAGCACATACGATTAAATGTAAAAAAAAATATTTAAAATTGCGGATCCGAAAGAAATATTTATTAGTTGCATTGAGTTACGCAAAAATAGTTCCGAAAATCAATCGATTGTGGTGAAGGTGCCGGCTGCTTCCGAA